GATTAATGAAACAAGTAAAGCTTTCATTCTAGAAAGTAAGCCTATGTTTGGCTCATGCTTATAAACCGTTTATCAACACTCAAAACACTCAATTTTTATTCACACATTTCTAAGGACACACTAGTAGTACTCACTTATCTACCACTCATTTTTATCCATTTATGATTAACAGTTTATAAACACTTTCCAAACATTCTTTAAATCAGAAGGTTGTATTGATATTTACTACAGCATTTAAAAAAAAAAAGGCCCATGTTTAAGTCCCATTTTTTTGAATAGATTATGTAAAAAATGATTTTAAGGAGAATGTACAATTAAAAAGCAGAGAAAATTTTTGAGTTTACGTAAAAATTATTTTATTGGGAAAATGTGTGGTTGAAAATAAGTTTACGAAAAAATGAGTTTTAAAGAATGTAGCTCAAACATGGGCTAAATTTCATAGATCAACAGTATTTTCTTTCTCATAAAGAAAAAATGAGTTTTAAAGAATGTAGCTCAAACATGGGTTAAATTTCATAGATCAACAGTATTTTCTTTCTCACTGCTCTGATAAGAAAAATGTATTAAAGCTATATAAAAGGAAAAGCAACAAGTAAATAAAGATGGCAGGAATCATCCAAATGTTGCAATATCCAATGATTAGTTCAACTCGTCACTCATCAGCATTCCCAGGAACTCAGCTTGGACACTTATCACACTAATAAACATCGTCCAAATACTTGGATACCACACACCTTGACAAAAATTTAAGTGAATCACCATACCCAGAAAAGAACATGCTATTTATCCAAGATCAAGCAAACTTGAGAAAACATCTTTGCAAGTTTGTTCAACCTTGTTTTTTTTTTTTTTTTTTTTAAATGACTGAAAACAGAAATGTAGAAAAAAGACAAAAAACAAAAAACAAAAAAAAATCCAGGAGAATAAATCTGTCCGCATTCAATATCCACTTGTGAATTTCTAATAAGTAGGAAATAAAATCCTTACAATGAACAGATTGAGACTAAACCATGTATAATAACTGTATCAATGTCTTAGTTTTCTGAACTTGTTCAATTAGAAGCTTCATCAGGGGATATAGATTTTCATTTTTAAAAAAAAAATGTATATTAATCTAAACTTCATTCAACGAATGTTATTCCTGGAATGCCATCTACTCTTCAGCTGCATCAGAATTTTGTGAAATAAAAGTTGATCAAAATGAATAATAGAATTAGAATGTCATTTGTTGATAATAAACAAAGGGTGAGAAACAGATTTATGCTTGGGTACTATGTAATTTAAAATTAAATAGAAGTCTTACACCTAGTCTGATTGTGAAGAGGTGTAGAACAGTGCATTATAGTTTGGCTTTACACGCTTCCCAAAAAAAAAAGGTCTTACATTATGTAATCAAGATGGGGAGTTCCTTCCAAAGGATTCAAAAAGTTGGAAAGAAATGAGATGCCGAAAATTGTGTTCTAAAAGTAACAGGGGCGAAACTTCCCTGTCATTATTATGTCAACTTTCATAGATCACCTTATCACATAGGCACATATTCAACCAATTATAAAAATTGAAACACAATAACAACCGCTGCAAACTTACGCTTGAATTGCCCTCAACTCTATCTTCAGCATTTGCTGTCAGTTCAGCATCTGGCCTATCTGCACAAGAAAAAGGAAATAAATCTAACAGATAAAAAGATAAGGAGAGCAGAGAAGATTTTAGTGAAGAATATAAACATAAATGAACTGTTAACTGATGTAGAACACAGTCTAGCTAATAGAAAATAGTAGAATTTGCACAAAAAGATGGCTTCTGGCATATCATTTTATCAAAATAGAGAAGTAACTGTAGCCCATACTATTCAAAATTTTAATACCTGAATTCTATATATTCCAAATTATCATATAAAATAAACTCAATGAGTTCATTGATCTATATAATTACTTTCTAGTAAGAAAACAGAAACTTGGCTTCAGGGTCCCATTTTGCTGTTCTTACCCATTTTAATTTTAACTGTTCATAATTTCAGTTTTACCAAGATACTCTCATATTTGCCATGAATCTGTTGCTACTCCAGATATAGCAGATACACAGCCAGATTAGGGATGCATG